AATGATAAACAAATATAGAAATGGAGAAAGACAATTTTGTTTATAAGAGAAAAAAAAAATATTGTCACGAGAAGAAGATTTTATTTTAAAAAATATATTTAAAATTTAAAACATATCAAAATAAAACTATAAAAAAAAGTTCTATTTAATAGTATTGATTTCTATCTATGTAGGAGCTCTTGGACTCAACACTTTGAAAGGGAAAAAATAAGTGTTATATATGTTAACCAATATATTTTTATACTTTTGGATGTTTAAACCTCGTTTATGATTTGTTTATAAACGTAAGTAAATGTTAACAAATAAAAGCTAATAACTACTTGGCTACAAAATTATAGGAGATCTTGTTGGGTCTTCAAATGGTTTCTCTCAAGGAGATTCACACTATTTGGGTAGAAAGTGACCTTAAGGAAGCTCTATCCCTAGTTCTTCAAATTCAGCGCTTCTCTCATCCAGGGCTGTTCTTGACCTTTTCGAGACCCCAGACAAAATAGGAAATTATGGCCCTTTAAAAAAATTATCAAATATAATAAACAAAATAAAAACATATATTAATAATTTTATTAAAATAATATATTTTTTTAAGTGGCTATAGTTTTTCTAATAAAATTATAAAAAAATATTTTTCATTCAAACAACTTTTATGTTATAATTAACTATAAAAATACAAAAATCATAAAAAAATGGGTTCTAAAAGCTTTCTAAGATGCAAAATCATTAATGATAACATTAACATTAATATTTTAAAAATATTCTTTATCGATTGATAAAATTGAGACCATTCAACGGTTCTTGTGACATTGATGACTTTAGGTAAGTTTTGATTAACTTTAACTCTAAAAAACTTCTTTCAGTTGATGATATAATCACCGGGACTGTAAAATAAATTCTATAAGTGATTAAAACATTTAAATAACAATCTGCATATTTGACAAACTCAATAATTGTTTAATTTTTTGGAGAAAACTAAAATTCTCCATGAGCTTTAATGTTAAGAATAGTAAAATTTTAGAATTAAATGAAGTTTTAAGTTTATAGAAGTCAATGAGTCGAACGTTTATAGCAAGTGAGATGTGAGAAATTAAAAGGTATTTTTTATTTTTTCTATTTTTTCTAACTGCAAATTATAAGAGCTGAAATTTTTTTTCAAGTATAAGTAGGACACAATTTTTACTTTTGGCTCTCTTTTAAGCTTGGGCTCTAGGCAATCGAACCTCTAAACTACCCTCAAAATCGGGCCTGTTCTCACTTCCTGTTTGACTTGATTTGTAATATTAGAAAATTGATCAGGTCTATTAGATTTGTTCGTTTTGCTCATATTCTTAGAGAAGCTAATTGTTGTACTGACAAAATTACTAAGATAAGATTAGAGGCTTCATTACCTTTCCATTGTTTTGATGTATTTCCTTCCCAATTGTTTCCATTTTTATGTTTTGATGCTTGTGGTAGTTGGAATAGTAGGGCTCTCTTGTAGGTTTGGTTTAGGCGTTTAGCCCCGTTTTATAGCAAAAAAAAAGAAGAAGCTAATAACTACCTTTTAAAGTTGATTATAAAGGTTAAGGGTGATTGTTAAGAATAACAACCATTTATTTCATTTTTTTTATTTTAATAATATCTATTTTATTTATTTCAATTTTATTCCACAATCTAAACAATGCATTGATTTTTCACTAGAATTCAATGATTTTGTAGCAACAATATTTATCATATTTTGTAAAATTTAATTTTATCTAGCATATACAAAACAAATTTATCACCACACGCATTAGATTTTGTTTAAATTGTTACAATCTAATATATAATAAAATTGTCCTAACTTTCAAGAGGTATGTATAGCCTTTGTCAAGGGCAATGCTTATTTTCTGGAAAAAAAATTAATTTTACATATTATAAATGCAATATATACTAAGCATTTGTCACTTGTTATATATGTATTATGCATAAGATTCTACCCAGTTCACATAAATTTACAATTTGATTTTTAAATATATGCCTACAAAATGAGAGATGTCACAAATAGGCATAAAAACAGGTTAGGTAAGACCTTACTCTAAACAAGCAAAGTCTGTAGCATAATTATTAGACTTAACCCTAACCCTAGCTTGTTATATATTAAAAGCCTTACTTTCGGCTTAGTCTGAAGTCTGTTAACAAAGTCTACTACAAAAAAATCTCTTAATAAGCCATTAGGCTTAGGCCAGTAAATAGACTCAAGTCAGTAAATATACACAATTGTGAATCTTTTAGTACTAACTAATAAATGTAAGACCACGCCTACAAATTATGAATATAGAACTATGATTTCAGCAAGTTGCTAAATCAAACATGTGGTTCAAAAAAAATCTAAAACATTGGTTCAAAAATTAACAAAACACATAAAGCACCCTATTATATGAAGTTAAAACCTAATTTCATGGTAACAATCAGACATGTCTGTTAGGCTTAACATATAAACAGTTCAAACTTAACCTATTTACTTAAATAGACTTTAAGAAAAGATAAAGTCTTATTTGTTTATTAAGAATGATAGATTAAGTCTAAATCACTGCCTTGTCTATTTTCATCCCTAATCACAAATAACATCTTTAGAATAATATCACTCCTTATAGTAGATAACACCTATTGCATTTTTCTTTTCTTTTCCCTTTTTTCTTCCTTCATTTTCTTTTCTATTTATATTCTTATTTTGATAGTACTTTTGCTTTATACAAAGTGTTTGAGTTTTTTATTTATTTTATTTTTTATTTGAGAAATTCCAATTTAACCATTATTATTTGTATGATTTTTAGTTAGTGAAATATATTTTGAGCAATTTAGTTGCATTAGTTTTCATCAACAAAATTTTAATTTAGAAATTTGTTTGTAATTATGAAATTTCTATTAATTTTAAAATTTAACTTATTAATATGTTAATGAAATTATAATTAATAGTAAATATTTGTTAAATTTATATTGAAATTTTTTAATTTATTATTTAACATAAAATTTGTAAATAATTAATCGTTATTTATTTAAATAAATTTTGTAGTCATGTTAATTGAATTTGAGTTGTAGAAATTGTCATTTAATTATTCTTTTAGCTAATATGTGATAATAGTTGTTAAAAAATAGTTCTTATATATTTTTTAAAAAGTGTAAAATGATTAAATAATAAATTTTAGTAAATGTTGTTTATTTTTATTTTAAATTATATATTTATTATTTTAATTTCTCTGTTTATTTAATATGTTTTTATTTTTAATTTAAATGAGTACATGCAACTTTTAAGGTAATTCATTTATTATTTTAAATTCAATTGTTGTTAAATATAATTTTTTGATAATATAAATAGTAGTTATAAATTTAAATTTCAACTAAATAATTTGTTTGGCCTAATTTTTTTTATTAATTAGACACCACAAAATTAAAAATATAAATTACTAATTTTTTTATTTATTTTATTTATTTATATATAGTTTAAAATTTTAAAATAAAATTAGTAATTTGTTATAAAAATTAATTGTTAGTTAAATTTAAATTTTTAGTACGTACTTTTAGTAAATTAGTAATTTGTTATCAAAATAAATTGTATGAAGATTTTTTTTTCTAACAATGATATTTCTAATAAGATAAACTTTATAGTCATTTGTTTGGCCTCAAATGGTATGTAGGACTAGAGTAAATTTAAACCTTTTGTGTGTCAATCATTTTTGTGAGTTGATGTTCAATATTATTCTCCCTAAATTTAGTGTTGATTCAGATTTTGTGAGTTGACTTATTTTTCTAAATGAAACATTTACTCTTAGTTTTGCTTACAATCTAATTGATAGTAATAAAAATAATATTAAAAGTAATATATTAAGATTATTTGAAAATGGTCAAATCTCAAAAAAAATGTAGAGATTTTCTTTTAAAAATGACTCATGGTAGACTTCTTACAAGAAATGATTTAGAAAAGGGTTTTGTTACTTCTTATATTTGTGATAAATGTGATCCAAATTTTGAATCTATAAAGCATGGTATGAAAGAGTGTTTTGTTGCTCTTAAATTCTAGTACACCTTCATTCTGTCTTAGTAGGTGGTTAGAATTTAATTTATAAAGTAAAATATTGAATGGTATAAATAATTAGAAAGCGTTTAGTTGTAATTTGTATATTTTAAAATAATAAAAATTTGTAGATTTTAATCAGAAAGTTGCAAATAGCATTTTTTTTAAGAAATCAAATTAAGAGTTATGCTAGTTATATTATTTATAATTTTCAGTTTTTTAAATTTTATTTACTTAAATTTGTTAAATTTAAAGCGATTATGGTTATGTTTAATAAATGTAATTTATAGTTTATTTAAAAACTTATAGTCAATAAGTTATTGAGTTATTTAGTAAATAACAAATTAAATGAACTTGTTCAAAACTATTTAAAAAAGTATCTAACTTTTAAAAAATAATTAATAATATTGCAATTATATTTTATTTTTTTTATTTTTTTGAAAAGAAAAATTTACTTATCACACAATTAAAATTTTATATACATATGTTAATTTTATTGTCTTTTTATTTATTTATATTTACAATAATTTCATTATTTTTTATTTACTATTTATCTATTTTATTAAATATATTTTAATTTAAAATATTTTATATTCAAATATATAAATTTTTTTATATAATTATTTACTTAATTGATTGATAATAAATCAACAAAATAAGAACAATTTTATTTTAATATTGCATTTATAAAATATTACATGTTCTTTTAAGTTATTTAGTATAAATTAAATAGTTACATAATTAATTTGTTAAATAATTTAATTTTATAAATTAGTTATATAATTATGAATTTTTAATTGTAAATATATAATTTTTAATTAATTTTATATCCAAAATTTAAAAACTTATAATTTATATATATATATATATATATATATATATATATAAAATAATATAACTCAAATAAAATAAAAAGTAGAGCCTTACATTTATTTAAAAGGATAAAAAATCTTATGGCAGATTAGGTGGCGTGAAAGTAGAAATGAGGAGAATTCGGACAGCTTGGCACAGCATCACGAGGGGTACGCCGGTCCTGTAGGTGTCACGCACTTCATTTCGGGCACTTACCTATCATTGCGCTCATTTACTTTTCTACCTTCTTAAAACCCTAACACACCCTTCTCATCTGTTTCTCCTACTACTCAACTATTCCTTCTTCCACTCTCTTCTCTGCAGTCATGGGTTAGTCAACACTCTCTCCCTCTTCTTTCATCTTTCTTCCCTTTCATTAGCTGCTCTACTCCCTTTCTCTCGATCTGAATTTTCCTTCTCTTCTGTTTCGTTTTTCTTTATGTCTTAAATGGATAATGGCATGGATCAGGCAAGGTCAAGATCGGAATCAACGGTAACCATTCTCTTCCTTCTCTGCTTCAGATCAGCTCAGCTATTTTTACCTACTTTTTTGATTTCGGCCTTTTGTTTTAATTTCTTATTTTATTTGAATGAAACAGGATTCGGAAGAATTGGTCGTTTGGTGGCCAGAGTTGCACTGCAGAGAGACGATGTGGAACTCGTTGCCGTCAACGATCCTTTCATTACCACCGATTACATGGTGCGTACCGAAAACCTCTTACTCTTACTTTTGTTTCCATTCTTTTCATCTCTATTTTTTCATCTCTATGACTAAGCACAATAGAGTATCTATGCTCTCAGTTGGGTTAGTGTTCAGATCGTTACGGCGATTTATTTATTTATTTACTTTTAATGCTTTAGATCTTAGATCTGATTCTCAACTTCTGATTCACTGTGTTGGTATGCACAGACCTACATGTTTAAATACGACAGTGTTCACGGACAGTGGAAGCATCACGATGTGACCGTTAAGGACTCTAAGACTCTTCTCTTTGGTGAGAAGCCAGTGACAGTGTTCGGACACAGGTATCATTTCTTTTTATACTCTTGGTTTTGATTGCTTGTGCCTTGCGTGTAACTGTGCAAGTGTTGGTTAAAGCTTTGGTTGATATTCAGGAACCCAGAGGAGATCCCATGGCACGAGACTGGTGCTCAGATCGTCGTTGAGTCCACTGGAGTTTTCACCGATAAGGACAAGGCCGCTGCACATTTGAAGGTTTCTATTTTTTCCCTATCCCTTTTCTCTGCTAACTATTTCCGTTGTTTAAGCTTCGTTTTTCTTACGGCGCTCTGTGTTTCATGCATCGTATTCTAATTGCTGTCACATGCCTATACTTTCATAGCTTTCACTTACTTTTATTCTATTTTTTAAACCAACATGCCTGTAATTTTTGTGTTTATTTGTGTTTTCTCATTTTTATGCTATGCGTGTTTGCGGGATTTGAGCTGTTTTTTCTTGTTAGTCGTAACTTGTGGCTTGTCATCGATATTTTTGTATGGTGTTTGCAGTTTTATTTTGTGCAGGGTATAAGATGATAATTGTGTCTTTTATTTCTTAATTCAGGGTGGTGCTAAGAAGGTCATCATATCTGCCCCCAGTAAGGATGCTCCCATGTTTGTCGTCGGTGTTAACGAACATGAGTACAAGGCTGAGCTTGATGTCATCTCCAATGCCAGCTGCACAACCAACTGCCTTGCTCCACTAGCAAAGGTTCGATTTTCTGGATTCATTGCAATGGAATTTTGTGTTGATTTTTACTTTTTTTTTGTACTCCTAATTGTTTGTCAATTTTACAGGTTATTAATGACAGGTTTGGCATTGTTGAGGGTTTGATGACCACTGTTCACTCCATCACTGGTGAGCCTATTGTTGGTTTGTTACCTTGCGTATCTAATCAGACTATTAGCTAAGTTAGGCTTCTCTTTTTGTTATGCTAATCAGCTACCCAGAAGACGGTTGATGGGCCATCCAGCAAGGACTGGAGAGGTGGAAGAGCTGCTTCATTTAACATCATTCCTAGCAGCACTGGAGCTGCCAAGGTGAATATTTGCTACTATCTGTGATGTTTATGCCATCTTATCCCAAAATTGATGTTCTATTGTTTACTGATGATGATTTCTGGTTTTACCTAATAACCCTTCCTTACTTTTGTGTGAAGGCTGTTGGCAAAGTTCTCCCTGCTTTGAATGGAAAATTGACTGGAATGGCATTCCGTGTTCCTACCGTGGATGTCTCTGTTGTTGACCTCACAGTGAGGCTGGAGAAGCCAGCCAGTTATGACGATATTAAGAAAGCTATCAAGTAAGGGCAGAATACTTGAATTATCTCTTCTTACTGATATCATAGTATTATACTGGATCTTATGCAGCTTTTCAAGACACTGTTGTTATTCTATAGTGCTTACATTTTGAGATTGGTCCTCTGTCATTGGATTGTCTTATATAATGATGTTTTTCCCAGGGAGGAGTCTGAAGGAAAATTGAAGGGAATTCTTGGTTACACTGAGGAAGATTTGGTCTCTACTGACTTTCTTGGTGATAGCAGGTAAAATTTTTGCCAACAGATCTATTGATTACACGTGGTTGCTGATGGTGCCTATCCAGTTTTTGTTACCTTTTTCAGTTGATATTCGTCCTATACCTGTTTCTAGTTGTTTGAAATGGCCTTGTTTGCAAATTTGGTCATAAATTATATTTTCTTAGTTCTTTTTTTATCATTATGCAGGTCAAGTATTTTTGATGCAAAGGCAGGAATCGCTTTGAATGAAAAATTTGCGAAGCTTGTTGCATGGTATGACAACGAGTGGGGATACAGGTAATCCACTTTCAACCTTTTCTTGAACACGAGATAGTGTTGTACTACTGTATCGAGTTGCTTACTGATATTGTGGTTCAGGAATATGCCTGAGGTGTTCAATAAGTTGTCAATTTGCCTTAATCTAATCACGACAAGTATGCATGTTTTACTATTAATTCAGCTTGATCTAATGGCTGCCTTGTCTTTTGGTCTTGCAGCTCTCGCGTGATTGACCTGATTGTTCACGTTGCCAAGAATTCTCTTTAAGATGATACTGCAATATTGCCTACATGCAATGTAGCCTGTTGTCATTTGAGTACCGTATGTTTATGTCTAGCTGGGATTTAGAGCCTTTGTTTCTGCTAAAATGTTAAAGTCTCAATAAAATGGGTTTCCGGAACCAGCTTTGTTACCCTTTTATGATCTTTAGGTCTTCTAGGCTTTTTGGTGTTGCTTCTTTTGTTGAGGGGATGGAGTTTTTGGATTTTATCTTTACTTCTGATGTACTAGGCTCATATATTTGCTAATGTACTTCTCTTTAAATGTACTTCTCTTTATTGATTGCGATGGTGTCTGTTTTCGCCGTTCATTTTCCATTTTTCATCGGTGTTTCTTGTACGTTTTTTTATTCTTCTTTGAATCATGGTGTTTACGGTGAAAAATGACCTTGTAAACAAATAATCCAAAGATCAATCTTGGACTGGATTTAGGTCTTTTCTGGGTTCTTTTAAGTGTGTTGTTAACGTGATGCTCAAATTAACTGCGTAAAAGAGTATTAAGCAAGAATAGTGAATAATAAATGTGCAGAATTAAATCAAACGTAGATGTTTTTATTAAAATGTAACAAACAGGAAGCTAAGAGTGTACAAAGATACAAGCAACAAGTACTGAAATTAAAATGCAGAAAGGGAAATTTAGGAATATAAATGTGCTGGGAAATTTAGGAATATAAATGTGCTGGAATATAAACGTACGACTCCTCACAATGGCGAATAACGGCCATCGTAGGTCTTCTTGTAGCTGGTGTCTGGCGCGGTGCAGGGTTTCAGCGTCTCAGAGTGTTTAGGTGCGGTGTCTGGGTGCAAAAAGTCGTCTTCTGCGAAATAATGCTTTGTAATATTTATAGACATGAAGATCACCACTGTTTTTCTCCTTTTGCGGGCACTTCTTAGTAACTGCCTTCAACTGTTGATGCTCACTATCCACGATTACTTGTGATCGTGCTGTTTGTTGGGGCTGTAACCGCTATCGCCCATGATCTCTTTTGCGTAGTGGTGAATGTTGATAACTACTGGTAACCGCTTTTGGATTTTTTAATACTCCTATCTTTCGAGTATTTCTGAGAGAAACCTAGGAAACTCTTTTAATGTTATGGCCTTAGAATAATTTCTTCTTTGACTTCTCTTTTCGAGCCATTCTGGAGTTTTGAGAGTCTGTCTTGGTCTTGTGGACTTAGAACATTTTCTTTGCTCATTTCTGTTTTTCGAGCAATTTTGGAGGGACTCTTGAGCTCGACCAGATTTGTGGACTTAGAATATTTTCTGACTACTTCTTGTTTTTCGAGCAATTCTAGAGGAAATCTGGAGCTCAGCCAAGTTTGTTCGAGCAGTTTTGGGTGTCAGGTACTTGGAAACTCCTCAAATATTCCTCGAAAAGCCATCAATTTTTTGTGGACTTAGCATATTTTCCTGTTAGTCCTGTTTTTCGAGCAGTTTTAGGTGTCAGGGACTTGAAAACTCCTCAAAACTCCTCGAAAAACCATCAGTTTTGTGGACTTGGAATATTTTCTTGCCAGTTCTATTTTTCGAGTAGTTTTGGGTGTCAGTGACTTAAAAACTCCTCAAAACTTTTGTGGTCTTGAAATATTTTCTTGTCTTTCAAGCAGTTTAGAGAAAAATCAACAATGTGACAAAAATCTCTTAAAATAGCTCGAAATGTGTTCCTTTTAATTAAAACCAAAGATCTTCCAATATTCTCTTATGTTCAGGTTTATCTTTGACTCCTTCTTGACCTTCAAAACTTGTTGAAATGTAGTTTCCTTCAAGATAATTTTTAACTTAGAAAATTTTCGTTATCCCAAACACATGGATTCATGGTTTACAATTAACTTCATCGTTTTTTAGTTCATATTTTGTTACATTGTTATTCAAAACTGAAATCGTTGGATGAGTTTACATTAAAATACTAAAGTATTTAAAATAAGTGATGATTAAAGTGAGTTTGTGTATTATATAATTTAAATAAATTAATAAGATGATTTGTTATAATAAGTTTTAAAAGTTATTGTATTTATATTTTGATTTTTAATAAATTTTGTCAGTTGAAGGTATTAACATATTAAATATTTAAAATAAATTTTTAAAGTATTTTTAAGGTAAATATTTTTTAAAATTCTAATTGTAATAGTTTTAAAGGTAAATTTTTTTATTCATATGAAATTTAATTTTTTAAAATTTACTCCTGATAATCTTTGTTTTTGATGCTAAATTAAACTTCTTTTGTGTGTTTATAATAATTTAATATTTAAAGTTAAAAGTTTGAAAAAATATTAAGAGATTAAATGAAATTATATAATTTTTGTTTGAAATAGTGTAAAAGTTTCGTTAATTCTTTCTTATTTTACTTTAATTCTTTTTTTTTATTTTTTTTTGTATGCAAATTTATTTTCTAAATCTAACAACTTAAATAATTATATTTTTTGTTATGATATTTTGAATTTTAATATTTATAAGTGAAATTAATTAAATTTTAAAATATTATATATCTGTTTTAATTCTTTCTACAACAAATAATTTAATTTATATAATATTTGTTTAAGTTAATTATATATATATATATTTATCTTATTTTATTATAATATAAATTTTATTTTATAAAAAAATTGAATAAATAATAGAAAATATAAAATAACATGATATATTTAATTAATATATGCCAAACATAAAATAAAATTATAATTTATTGTACTTTTTTTATTCTATTTTTATGTAACTCTTATTTTATTGTTTTATTTCTATTATCCATAAAACTGTGCATTAACTTTATTTGTTTTAGGAAAAGACTATGCAGGGATAAAGAGTGAAGAAAAAAATTTCTATATGTTTGATTTTTTTTATGAGTAAAAAAGAATATTTTTTGTGAGATTCATCAAAAAAATTTCATTACACAAAATGGTGAGATTTTGCAAAGAAAAAAAATGAGATTTTTTAGTTTTTATATTTGATTGAAAATAATTTTTAAAATAATACAAAAATAAAAAATAATTAAAACCATATAATTAAGAAAATATTATTTTAAAACTTTAAATTTTTTGTTAAAATAATTTTATTACTGTTATAAAACATTTTTTATATAATTACCTTTTTTTACTCTTTTTTCATTCGTCCAAATAAATAAAGTAAATTTTTTTTGTACTTTTTTTCTTAATTTTATCCATCGAAACAACATATATTTTTTATTTGATTTTCTTGAACTCATTTTCTATTACATCCATCTCTCTTTTACCAACTTCTAACATGCCCCAGCTACCCCACCTAACCAACTACTTTGCTACTTTTTCTGTGAGATAATTTGGTTCACAAGCTTTCTGCTCTTATTCCTTTTGTTATTTGTTACCCTGTACTAAGAAATTATGTTCAACTTTTTCGTTGGGTGATTAATATGTTCACTGTTCGATTCACTAAATTGACAGCACAATCTTGCAAAAGAGGCTTTCATATTTCAAGCACCGTGGGATGATAATAGATTGTGCACACTGTATAACTTTTTATATTGTATAATATTTCGTCTGTTACTTGTAATTGTATAATTTTGAACGTAAAAAACAGTGAGCCAAAGAATAAGATTAATTGCGTGTTGGATTGAATTTTGAGAATTTAATTTTGTAAGATTGATTTTGGTAAGAAATAAGTTTAAATGAACAGTTTATGTTTCAAAATATTTAAAATGTGATTTAAACATATACTAATAAGTGTTATTTATTAATAATAAAAACACTTTTCAATGTATAACAAATATTACAAGGATATAACATTTCTATTTAAATATCATTGAAATAATCATATAATTACTCTGTAATTAGTATATTTTTTAAAAAAAATTTTGCTTAAACAAAAGTAAAAAAAAATAAAACACCAAATTTTCAATATACATGTAAAAGCAACAAACATTCTGTTCAAGGTAACTTTCCTATTACAATAGGCATTCTGGGGGGTTGAATGTAGAGTAAAACTTAATTTAAAATGGTGACAATAATATAAAGTAAAACACAATGATGACAACAAGAAAACGCGTAGCAAGAGATAAGGTTAACTTAAAATTAAACTATACATTTTTATTCAACTTAATAAAAAAGAATAATATTAGACCACTTAGTGCTAAATTAGTTTATTCTATAATCATATTAAAAAATTAGGTGCATTAGATAGCTTTATCATATAATACATTTATCACTTTTTCTTATTTACGAATACTACATTTACTACTGAAAACATACGAATAAAGTCAATTTTATAATATATACTTAAATCTTATTCTATATACCAAACACGGCCTTTGCAATTTTAATGTCGTATTTGACAAACAGTAATGATGTTCTTTAAGAATGTTTTACAAAGCAAGAAATCCAGAAAACTAAAATGTAAGTTACGGAATATGTAACCAAAAAAATATGTAGGAGCTGTTTGGTAACTAATTTTAAAAATAGTTCTTAGTTTTAAAAAAATTGATAATGTATTTTTTGTCCACTATTCTAAACTTTTTTAAAAAATAGAAAATTATTTTAAAAAAATAAGATGTTTTCTTATAGGTGTTTTGAGAATCAAACAAAAAAGCATAAAACACCTCTTTTTTGTTTTTTTTTAAATCACAGTTAACATTTATATATAATTTGAGTATGAAATTTTAAGTGAATTTTTTTTTAATTTTTTAAAATAGAAGTATTTTTAGAAAATAGTTTTCTTTCTCATTAAGTAAAGTAATTTTTTATATTAAACATTTTTTTATTTTAATGTTTATTTAAACTGAACTTTTATAATTGATTTTTATTTTAAAATTTTTATTTTTATTTAATTATATTTAATAAATATTCTATTTATTATTAATAACTATGATATTTACTTTATAATTTTTTCAATTTAAAATAATTATATAATAAATTTTTAATTATTTATTTGATTTTTTAAACTTTAGTAATATCTGTGCAATATAAAAAAATTATTAAGTTTATAAATATGGTTAAACTTTTTCTCACACCACTATCCTTCGTATAAAAAGCAATAATCTACTTTAGTGATTTTTCTACATTTTTGTACCCCTCTTTTTAGATTCACACAGAAGCTCTTCTACTTTATTTATTTATTTGGATAAGTTACGTTATCATTCTCATAGATTTAATAGAATTTTATCCGATACCCTTCCTGTGTTTTACATTATTTTTATTTTCTTTTATTTATATAATTGCATAAAAACTCAGAAATGATTTAAGTAATAAAAAGGGTATGATATTATATTATTATATAAATTATGATAAGTTTGTGTAAAGTAAAAAAATATTAAATAAAATTTTATTAAACTTTAATAAATATAAGTATAATTTTTTTATATGTTTTGTTAACTTCAACTATAAGGGCTAAGGTTAAATATGCATAAATAATTTTTTAATAAAAAAATATACATTTATTGTATTGAAGTTATAAAAATATAATAAATATTTTATAATAAAATTTTACTATTATTAGCTATTTATCTTTAACTTTAAAGGTTAAAATTAACAAAACTTTTTTTTTTATTGCATTCTCCGATTATATTAATAAAATTTAGTGATTCATTTATTTATTTTTAAAATATGTTTCTCTGCTAAGTTTTCTGCTTCATTTTTTTCTCTTGTTGTAAGTATCATTTTGATATTTTTGTTCTCAAACCCTCTCACAATTTGATTCACGGTTTTGAAAAATTTAAGCCATTTAACATTTTAGAAGACATATTCATAAATATTATGTAAAATTTGATATAATAATTAAATGATATAAAATAAAATAATTATAAATCATGTAAATGTTAAAGCTACTTCTAAGTATAAGTTATTTTCACCGATGAACTCTTTTTAATATTGAATATTTTGCAAAAAACTAAATTTTGAAGTATTTATTTGTACCCAAAACCAAATAAAATGTATTAATATACATGGGTTGAATGTAACTTTTATGATACTTTTTATTAAATAAATTAATTTAGAAAATTTTTTAAAATTTAAAAACTATTTAACATATACTATATTTTCCAAAGCAAAAAGTTAGTACTAATTATAAAATTATATTTTATTAATTTTTAATTTATTAAATTTTAATTTGCATAATTATTGACTTAATATGACAAGATTCTATAATTATATCAATAAAATTTACGTAAAAAAAATAAACAAAACAAGTATTAGAATTTAATTTAAATACATTGATAGTTTTTATATATTTTTATAATATTATCTAATCATAGGTTACTATATTAAAAAATTATTATTTTTTATAAAAATTATATTTATAACATATTTTAATTGATTGAATTTTATAATGATATATCAAAATTAGATCTATAATATTATAAAATTTTAAAAAATAAGGAAAACTTTATGATTTCTCTCTCTCTCTCATTTGGTAGAATTAATTATTTATGAATGCCTACATATAATTGGATAAAATAAGAAATTAGAGAATGAGGGAAAAAAAAAAAACTAAACTAAACGGAAATAGGGTATTTCTCAACGACAAAACTTAGTAAAGTAGCGTAGATATTTTGAAGTTGAAATTAAATTAAAATTAAATTTTCACTTGAAAAATTAATGTCTACACAGTGTAAATTATAAAATTACTTAAAATATAAAATAAATTTTAATAGATATTTAAAGATACACAGGATAAATAATAATTTTTTATTAAAATATAATGGTATTTTATAATGTTAATACAATTTTACTCTATATAATTTTCTATTACGTTTCCTAAATTACAAAGTTAGAAAAATCGAATGTAAAATACTGTAGTGAAATTTTGTTGATTTGGCAACACAATTTCATTATACATAGTATCAGAAAAGATAAGTAACAATAAATGCGGCCATACAAAAGATGTAATTAAGCAGTTACGATATTCAAATGTTTTACTTTTTCTGGACCTCTCCGCCAATCTTTTCTCCAATTTTCCCTCTTCTGTGTTCCACTCTCACACACACACAACTCACGTTTCTTCACCAGCAAATAGCAATGAATGATAGTGACAACCACATCTTCGAATTTGAACGCTCCAAACCCTAGAGTTAATTCAACATTTGAATTTTTTGAATTTTCCCTTCTCCAATGGCCACCGCAGCATTCAAATCCACCACCAAGAGAACCCCCGTAGGCGCTTCCTCCACTTCCTCCGCCGAAGACTCTGCCTCCTCCTCCCTCCACCACCGCCGTTCTCGCAGTCTCAGCCGTCCCTCCCGCCACTCCTTCCCTTCTCGCAACGACAACGACGACGACAATCGCCACGCTCCTATAGGCAGGTTCGTCAACACCGTCAGAGGCTCCGGCTTCCCTGAGATCAGCCTCGACGATCTCGCCATCGAGTTTTTCGAATCCGCCAATCGCGGTCGCCTTGGTTCCAGAGTCTCCGAGTCTGAGGCCACTCCCGCCGGCGCTGCTGCGTTGCATAGGCGAGGTAGGTCAGTTTCGAGGAAGAGCTCTGGCGTTGGCGATGAAAGAAGGAGCAGTGTCAGCGGCGGTGGAAGACCGTTCTCCGATGCTAATTCGAGAAGAAGGAGATCGCTATCGGTGGTTCGGTACCAAATTAGCGATTCTGAGGTATTGCAGTGAATGTCATTAATTTACACTAATTTTTAGATTTGAATTTGATTTCACTATTTCGTTTAAATTCAAAGGAATGCATGTCGTGTAATTATCTGTTAAACGACATTCTGTGTTGGTCATAGTCGGTCAAAGTTCAATGTTCATCTTGAATCGTTGACTTAGTAATATGTTTGTTGTTAGGATAGTTTTTTTCGTAATATAGTGTTTTTTCTTTGTTTTTAAGTTATTTGGGAAGTAAAGTGAAGACTTAAGAGGGGAAGAAAATGAGAGGACTGTAAAATTAGCAATTTTCCTCTATTTTCTCCCCTTATTTGCTTTCCAAACCAGGCGCTGTTAGTTAAGTATTTGCGCTAACGGCCTGTTTGGTTGCTTTCGAAAAAGAAGTTCTAGCAAAATTGAAAATTTCTTCCTTTCACTAAATTTCCATTACAATGTTACTTTTTTCCTTGAAAATCGTATAAACTTAATTTGCTGAAATAAACAAACAGGCTAGAACCCCTATTCATTTTAATTCATTTTATAATTTGTCATTTAAGCTCCTCGGAAAGTGTGAAGACTTTGTTTTTGAATAATTGTGAAAATTGATCTATCTTCTTTCCGGTTACATCAGGAGAGGATCTTATTGAGAGCGGATACTCTGCAGTGTTAGAAAGACCATTTGCTTTGAATATAACTGGTGGACCATATAACTAGTTATGGTAGGTCCTAGCGTGACAAAATGTCACACTGTTGCTTTTGAGTTTTGATGTTTGGAGGAATTCACTTTTGCCTTTAGGGAGGCTGATATTGTTATGTAATTTCCATGTTCTTTAAACAAGAAATCGTTATGCCTAGGCCTGCCACATCTAATCTGCTGAATTTGTCAGCTTGGGTTAAGAGTTTACTTAAAATTTTATTTGATAATATGTTTTTTTTTTAACTTTATGATTTTTTTTTATTAAGTTTAATCCTTATATAAATTATGCATAAAGTAAGAGTAAGAAATCTGGCTCAAGTTGCACTGATTTTCTTTTGTGTAATACTTGATTTTGGCATCAAATACCAACCATGCCACTTTGCTTGCACTTAAAATTATCATACCCCTCCCCAATTGAATGATTGACCTAACTTAAAATATTTCCGCATGTACATATCTTTCATGATACAGAGTGACCTGGATCATTCTCAGAACTCTAGAAGTCGTTCAAATCTGAAAAATACTGATATTGGGGCCAAGCCAATGCACAAGCCTGTGGCTTCAAATCAAAGACCAGTGCTGAGAAAGTCCCTAAGCCAGAAGGATTTGAGGTCATATGATGGCTACTCTGTAAGTGTGATAATTCTCTAGATTCTATTGTTAAATTTAAGCTTGTTTATCTCTTGCTGTAAAAGCTTGTAGTAGTAGTTTTTTCATTAAGATTATGCATAAATTCAAACTCACATACCATGTTTGGGAGAGTGGAATGAGTAACATTTTCTATTGGTTGGATGTTACAAATAAAACAGAGAGTTGATATAACTTTTGAACTGTCAAAGTTTAACTCACACTGAAAAACAAGAAAAGAAGATAAAGGTTAAAAAGTAATTTATGCTATTTATTTTCAACACTGCTATTTGGTACAAATTATTTTGTATGAATTGCCACAGAGAGATTTGAAAAAAATGAAAGAAGTGAGTATTGGGAATAATAACCACCCACGAAGGGGTGTGGTTTAAAAATGGGCGTATTTGTCTGTGTTAAGAATTTAGTACTATTTAGCATTAATCTTTTATTTTTCTATTCATTCAATGCCTACCTCAAGGAGTGCATGAATTTGAGGGTATGGAAATTGGCTCACAGCCATTGACTGAGAGGGATGACCTCCCTTTCCTTCCCACTCTATTACACTCTTAATAAAATCTTTGAGATAATGGAATAGTTTCTTCTCTAATTTGGCCAACTTCATCCTCGCAAACATAGCATTATGAAAGATGGTATTAACATCTTTTTCCAGGCTGTTAAGTTTATTCTTACTCTCTTCATCACACATATTTGTATTTCAGCTAAATCTGAGATTGTTTCTGTTGCTTTTCAGAGCCATTCTTCAGTTCTCACTGATGATGAAGGAGCAAGTGCTCACTTTAATAAAAATGGAATTGAGAAACTTCAAACAGTTTATACACAGAAGAAGGTTGATGAATTATAGTTGGGCAAGAAGCACTACCTCAGTTTGATGAATCTGGCTTCTAATATTATTCTTGGTTTACAAAATGTTCAGGTGGCACTTAGTGACATGGATAAAGGATTGCACAAAGCAATGCAGAAAGAATTAAGGCACATGGAAACTTCGCAAGTATGTAAAATGTGAATTAGTTTAGATGTAAACCTGCTTGTTCATATGATCTCTGTCATGCTTGTGCATACTGTGTTGCGACCTCTGCCTTGTTCACTGAACAATTTTCTAATTTCTTATTCCACTTTTAGGCTGTGGTGAAACCAAGGATCTCTACTTTATCTGCAGTTGATCGCTTGTTATCAAACAAATCTGATGCTATTCAGGCTGTTTCTTCAATCAGAAGGAACTATGAAACTGAACTGGAACAGGTAATATAATTTAATAACTATGAAAATAAAAAAAATTCTTTCTTTCAGAATGATTTTTTTTAATTCAGTGGTATGAAAGTCTTGAGTAATAATGGCTGATTTCATAAATGTTATAATGCACCTCCTCTTTAATTGATATTTTTGGGTTTATGAGAAAAGTTGAAGACTAACCTTTGGAAACCATTGATTTTTATTTTCTAATGATACTTTTAGCTGAAAAGCTCAACTATACATGAAATTACTAGAAAATTTCTCTTCTGTAAGTAAGCTATGTTGCTTCTTCTTTTAAACTATTTGTACAAAAAAAATTTTCCTTGCATTTTTAAGTGTGCTGTTGAAACTCACTTTTGTAAACTCAACAGTTTTACTTAATGGTAAGTGGAATGTAATGAAACGGAATGGAGAAAAGTTGAATAAATTTATCATTTTGCTTGGATATTTTTATGGTGGAATGGAAAAGAGTTGTTCTGTCCCATGCTTCCCCCCAACAATTGGAAAGGTAGAAAAAGAGGGCTATTGGATGGATTCATATCCATTTCATCAAGCATCATTTCATTACATCCTATTTTAAACAATCCAAATAATTGAAACCTAGTAACGATGCATTATGTTCCATTTCATTTCTTCTTTTTCTACCAATCCAAACATTGTAACATTCCATGAATGTCAATAGGAAGACTAAGCCACTCTCGTTGCATAACTTATCCTCTTTTGTTCATTGAAATATTTCATATGCTGGTAGAAGTTGTTTGACAAAGATGGTTTGCCTTCTTTTTTTTTTTCTGGGTTTAAAATTACAGTCAGAAAAGCGAAAGCAAGATTTATTAGCTGAAATAGTGTTTGAGGAGCAGCGAGGCAGAGAACTTTCTCAGATTGTTAAAGAATTGATTCCTGCTAAGGAGGATAATCCTATACAAAAACCATCAAGAACCAGGAAGGTCCATGTCTGTATTGTGCTTAGTGTTCTAATAATGATTTCTTTGTAATATAAATTAAACCAATTTTAGTCTATTGTTTTTGATGAATTATCTTTTTGGTTTTTAAGCATTTTTTTTCCATTGGTTTTATTTTATTCTCCAGAGAAGTAACGACAGAAGCCGGATGTCTATGCGGTTGACTGAGGAGGCTGAGAAATATATTGAGGATTTTATTTCAAATGTTGAAGATACAGATATTTCATCACTTGATGGAGAAAGGAGTGATGCAAGCTCATCAATTGGAGGACTAATAAAAGCAGAAACATTTAATAGTCCTCCAGTGCCTAGACCTCTTCCTGTTTTGACGGATGGGGTTACATTACCATGGCTACAATGGGAGACAAGTAATGATGCGTCTGTAACAAGCCCGAATAAGGCACATATGACACTGACTCCGAAAACTGCAAGTTCTACTCAGGTTATCACTGAACTGTCAAATTATTTTCAAATAAAATGTGTGAGATTGAAAAATTTAGGTTATTCGTGTGAGTAACATGGACCATATGAATAACAATATGATTGTCTTGACATTGACCTCAATTTATTTCATAAGTTTATTTTCATTTTGTACCAAAACGCAACTCTTGGAAAATTGGAATGCTTCATATAATCATCGCCATGAACTCTAGACATCTGCTCAATCAGGTGTTTTTTAATTGCAAGATTAAATTCAAGGGATTGGAAAGACATTATAAAAACTTTCAACAATGCTAACAATTGTTAGCCATCCATATTTTCAGATGTGTTTTTCTTATTTTCTCCTTTCATGTGCTTGGATTATTGAAATTCATTCATGCCATAGGAAATCATGAAAGTACAAGACCCAAGTAACAATTCTGTCAGCAGTCGTGGAAGCTGGAGCCCTGATTATCTTCAGGAATATGTTGGAAAGGAGGTTTACAGTAAATTTGGAGAAGTTTATGATTACCCGGAGCAGTCATTCTCAGCTAATTCTAAAGGGTTGAGGTATGATATGGATGATTACCTCAATGTTAAAAGCAATGAAAACTTTCTGATTGAGTGTTGGAAGCAACGGCAAAGAATTAATTCAGGCACTCTTACATTATGTAGCCTAAGATTATTCTAGACACGATCTGTTTCTGTAGAATGACCATTCCTTCCCCCCTGGTAAGAATTATATGTACAGATAATTACAATTCATCTAATTATGTTACCATATATAAGTTGATGAATGATAAGTATAATGTGCGCAAGCTTTTTTTTCGGGATAAAAATGTCACAATGTATTTATTGCCTGAAATAGTCGATACTGTGTAGATAATGCTATTTCCACAGCACCTTGACTTGATATTGCATGGGTCTTTATACCGAAGTTTAGTAGAGGAAATTTAAACTAGTTATGCAGATATGCCTATTTGTGAGCTTGGATTTTGTGTAAATAACATGTTAAAACGCACTTCAAAACGGTACATTCTTTACTTATTATAAACATATTTATAGATTAAATAATAACAATCTATCACTGTTTGAGTATTGAATCCATAAGTTGATCGAAAGAGTTTACGTAAAACTATTCTTATTTAGAAAAAAAAAATCTTGGCCTTTGTTCATGCTCGCGGTGGTCTTTTGTTGATAAATCATTGGTAAGTATTGTTTGCTTTCAATTGAACGTTGACACTCTAAACTTTGATTCATAAAAAAAAAATATGAATCTTTAAACTTGAGATAATTTTAATGTCACTTGGGTATTATTTAGTTGGTTCATTCACCAAAAAATTGTGAATCTTTTTAAACTTGAGAGTAACGTAGCAAATTGGTATACAAATTATAATAATAAATTTAGTTCCTAATATTAACAAATAATAATTTTTAATTTTTGTTAACCATCAATCAATTTAGTTTTAAGATTAAAATTAGTACTTAATTTGGTCTGTTACATTAAAAAGTTATTTAATTTTGTTAAAAATTGAAAAATAAATAATAGAAATGACCGAAAGAATTTTGGAATGATTATATTATTTGCTATAAAAATATAATATAGAAGGAAAAATAATTTCATTGCCGCAAAGCACAACTCCTTCATATAGGCTTTATATAGGCTATTACCTTTTTGCCTTTAACAAAATTTTCCTGCAAAACTAGATTCCTTTCTCTCCTAATCATTCTTTTATACACCAAATATTTATTATTTATTGTTTGAAAATTCTGTTACAACTCTTGTCACCTCATCTTGTCTCCCCTTACCCTGGTTTCTCTTTACATATACTCTCCACACCTTTGGTCTTTCCTTACAGTTCAAGCCCACATTTTCACTCCTATCAATTCCCTCTTCTTCAAAATGAGACTTGTCCTCAAGTCTCAAGTGGAGAAATTGACTTTTGATGTTGAACTCCTCTTCCTATGTTGCCTCTTTCATACCTTGTCCATTCTACTGTATCAGCACTTAACTGACACTTGCTCCACGTTTCTTGATAGCATGTTTAGCAAGCACTGCCTCAAGCTCAATAGGAACTTTAGGATCTATGCCAGATCCAATGGAAGTATCTCCTCAACATTGTAATCAGCCACAATTTTTTTAAGTAATGAAACATGAAAAATAGGATGTATCCTTGTTGACTCATGCAATTGCAGTTTGTATGTCATAGCTCCTACTCTTGCCAACACCTTGAAGGGATCATAATAACAAGGAGCTAATTTAGAATGAATCCTAACTCCTAAAGTCAACTGTCCACGAGGCCTCAATTTTAGGAAGACCCACTCTCCTGCTTCAAACTGCCCATCCTCCCTTTTATGATCTACTTGATCCTTCATGCGAGCTTGAGCTCTTTGTAATTGGTATTTCAGTTGTTTGAGTGCTTCATCTCTTTCTAACAACTCTCTTCGAACAACTCCCACTCGCCCTTCCCCAGGTAGAAATTTTGTTAGCAACGAAAGTTTCCTTCCATAAACCACCTCAAAAGGAGTGGTCCCTGTAGATGCATGAAAATTGGTATTATACCAATATTTAGTCCAAGATAGCCATTGTGCCCACAACTATGAAGCACCTAAAAAATGTCACCCTATTCTTAGAAATTATATGCCCCAAATACTCCACCTCTATTTGTCCAAAAAACATTTCTTTTGTTAGCCACTAATTGATGCCTCTGTAGTGTCTTTAATACTTCACACAAATGTGAGACATGGTTCTCCTAACTTGGGCTATATACCAATCTATCATAAAAAAACACCAGCATAGTTCTCTTTTACATGGGTTTGAATATTTCATTCATTAATGACTAAAATGTAGATGGAGTATTCATTAATCCAAAAGGCATTACATATATTCGTAGTGTCTTTCATGTGTGTGAAATGTTGTCTTGTGGATATCACTCTCCTTGACTCGAACTTGGTGATGCCCGAATTTGAGGTCAAGCTTGCAGAAAAATTATGCCTCATACAACTCATCATTCTTCAATCATTGGGATAGGGAATTTATTAGAAATCATCACCTTGTTTAATGCTTGATACTACACACATTTGCCAAGTGTATCCTTCTTTTTACCAAAATGAAGGTTTGGAAAACGCACTTTGGCTTGGTCTAATCACTCCCAATTGCAACATCTCTCTCACTTGATTCTCAATTTTATCTTTATGATAGTATGGGTAATGATATGACCTCACAGTTAATGGTCCTTGTCTTTCTACCAAGTTAATAGCATGCTCCTTACTTCTCTTTGGGGCAATCCCGTGGGCTCTTTGAACATCTTACTAAAAGTTTCTAGCACCTCTTTCAACTCCTGCTCGTGGTTATTCAAGTTTGCCTTGTGCACTTTCACCCTTGTCGACCAAAGTACACCATCTATCACACTTTTGCAATGACCCAACAAGATTTGTAGGGCTATTTGCTCACCACCATGCCTTCCTTCTCCTTGAATCATTACCTATTTGTCATTTAATTGAAACTGCATAACCTACTCACCCTAATCTACCATCATCCTCTCTAAAGGTGCGAACTACGTTATTCCCAAAATCAAATCAACTCTTTCTAGATCCATCAGTACTGAATCTATAGTGAAAGACAAAGTTCCATCCTCCAAATCCACTCCCAAATACATACACTGAGTTTGTGCTATGTAACCATCTCCAAGCCTAATGTTTAGGGCCCTCGTGGTTGCCACTGGCTAGCTCATTGCATGCACCATCTACTTAGAAATGAAATTATGAGTCATACCACTATCAATCAATACCAAAATAGGGACCCCATTGAGATAGGCTTGAACTTTCATGGTCTGATGCTTTGATTCCTTCACCACAACCATGTTTCCCAATGACAACATCGTCATCATCCATTATGGTGACCATATTTGCATCACTGCCAACTCCCTCTTCTTCCTTTACCAGCATCACTCGTAGTTGTCTATCAAGGCATTGATGGTTAGGATGGTAAGGCCCAACATACTTGTAGCATACCATTTTTGCTTCGCTAGCTCTTGGTAGAACAAATGTTGTACACCCTAGTCCCTAGGAGTAGAACAAAGTTGGCCTCTTGTGGAATTGGGTTTGAATGTTGTTCTTGCACTTCTTTCCCTAAAAGATATCATTTGGCCTATAGTTGTTAATCTCGAATAGTGGCTAACTCCTAAAATACTATAACAGAATAGCGTATTATGGGATGACCGCTAATTAAAAATTTGTAATATGTATACATATATATATATATATATATATATATATATGTTATGTGCACAAAATTTAAATATAAATACTTAATAAATTTTACATAATTATTATTCCAAGTAAAGGTGCAGAACAATATAGCATTAGTGTTATTAAACAAAAAATATCCCCTAAGGATAAAGTTAAAGTTTAAAAGTGATTTGTCCCTAACTCTAATCTAATAATCTAATCATATTCTGTCTCTAATTAAAAATCCTCCTCTTCATTGTCATTGTCACTTTCTGCACTACTACTTATGTAGATGTGTTCTTCCTATTCCTCTTTAATTTCTTCATCTATTTTCATTTCTTGCTTTTCATCTCGCATAATATTCTTTCCCTTTCTAGAGCTAGAGGTAGTAGTAGCTTTCTTCTTCAATATTGTTTGTTGTCTAGTGTAAGCAAGAAACTCATCAGCCCCAATAGCTTCAGAAAGAACTCTCCAAGTTAAATTATCATCATCAAAGACTAACTCATCTTCAGCAAGTTCTGTATTTTCTCCTCCTATTTCTCCAATTAACCACTCATTGCAATCGTCAATATTATCCAAAACAATGAGATTAATCACATCACAATTGTTATAACAATCTAGCAGATTTTGGTTGTACATGATATAAACCAAATCTTGCAATTTCTTGTTTTCTACTTTGTTTCTTTTCTTAGAGTAAATCTAATTATTAATTAAGAAAATGTTAATATATTTTCTCAATCAATTAATATAAATTTTAAAAAGCTATTAATTAGAACTTAGTTACATACATGTTAAAAAATACTCTAATTTCTCTCACAACTCGATGAACTACAAGTCAAGCTCAACACCTTAATGGACAGCTTTTGCAAGTTTGGAACTTGATTTCCATAATTCCTCCACCATTCACCTATAATGCAATTAAAATAATCAACAGTATTTAATTAAAAAAAATAACAAACAACATTAAAAGGAAATCAAACTCTTTTGATTTAAACTAACTAGGAGCCAAAGTATGCTTTTGTCTTATAGCTGCATTCAAACTGAAGATTCCATCAGCTCTTTTGTACATGGTCAGCTCCATTGTAATTTTATTCACCTATTCTTTAGAGTTATTCAATCTCTCAATGCACTTATATAGTCCATGTGTCACTTCAGGATCAAACTCAATACTTGCATTGGAATAGTATGATTCAGGGTTTAAGAAATGACCTACAGCATGTAGTGGGTGATAAAGTTGATATTCCTACCTTCTATCAATGATATCAAATACATGCTTATACTTCTCTTCATTTTTGTTAAAGGTTCTTTCAATGGCTTGCTTAGCTCTATCCATTGCTTCATATGCTCCATTGCTAGCCTTTTTTCATTGTCTACAAGCTTTAGTACACGCATAAGAGGCCCCATCAACTTAAAAGTGTACAAGACTTTATTCCAAAATGTCGGCATTAATTCAACGTCAGTTGCCTTCTTACTCTTTGTCTCTTTGGCTATTTTTTTATTTTAACCAATCATCGGAAGTGAACATTTTTCTAAGGTTGTTTTTTTTGTTTTTGCAACCTTTTCAAAGTAAGGAATGTTGTTGTCAATCTAGTAACTCTATACGTAACTAATTTCATTTTTTTGTGA